CCTGCTTCTTGTAATACAAAACAATGATCAGTAACCATCATCTAGTCATCTTCACTTCTCTCATTACTCTGTAGATTCAATCTCTGTAGATTTCCATAATATTCTCCCTCAATAACACTGTTTTTCTTGGTTAATAGTCCTATCTACTCCTTTGTATGGAAAATGTATTCTAATGCTGGCCATCTTGCCTGTTCACCTTTGTTTTCTTTTTTTTCCCTTGCTGATATTGTTCTTGAAATAGTGCTAAAATGCACTTGGGGTACCAGATGTGGACAATCAATGTATTTAATTTCACCCATTTCAAAGTCACACTCTGTTAATTCATATTCCCTTTCCTGAGGGTCAGTATTAGCTTTAACTGTAATTAAACCCTTTCCAAGGCCACTATTAAACTTTGGTTTTCTTCAGAGTCAAATACTGCCTGCAACCAGGAATGTAGTAAAGAGTGGGCCTGTTGAGTACTGCAGAGCATTGCTAGCAGATCCTTCCCCTCTACTCAGCCTTGATGAGGCCACATCTGGAGTGCTGTGTCCAGGGTTGGGCTTCCCAGTACAAGAGGAACATGAAGCTACTGAAGACAGTCCAGCATGAAGGTGATTACGGAATGGGAGCATCTCTCCTATGAGGAGAAGCTGAGAGAGCTGGGCCTGGTTAGCCTGGAGGAGATACACTGAGAGAGAATCTTATCAGTGTACACAAATATCTTAAAGGAGGATGTCAAGAGGATGGAGATAGTCTATTTTCACTGGTGTCCAGCAAGAGGGCAAGAGACAACAGGCACACACTGAAACACAGGAAGGTCCACCTGAGCATGAGGAAAAACTTCTTGACTGTGAGGCTGAGAGCGCTGGAGCAGGCTGCCCAGAGAGGTTGTAGAACCTCCTTTCTTCAAGGTTTTAAAAAATCATCTGGAACTGATAATGTGCAACATGCTTTAGGTGAGCTTAGTTGGACTGGGTGATCTGCAGAGGTCCCATCCAAGTTTAACCATTCTGTATTATGCCCTTTCAGAACCAGGCAATTTTCTTGGCAACATCACTATGCTTCTATAGCTGGCTACCTATTTCCTTGGCCATGCCAAAACTGTTCAAGGTTCAATCTGTTCTTTTGGATAGAGTTGACCATCTATGATAGCAAAAAATTAAATTTCATGGACTTATGCTAACAGCTATGCTAACTAGGCGTAACTCATGATAACTGCTATATCACTGGGCTAGTATATGGGCCTTAAATTTTTTTTATTTCCCCAGATTTCTGTGGCTGACAGAGCTTCCTAACTTCCTCTGTCCTCGCAACTAGCTACTTGACAACTTGTCAATTGACCACTCAAGCACTTAAAAATAGTGATCTCTGTACAAATTTAAATTATTTATGATAGCAAAGTAGCTGAAAATTAGTCCACTCTTACTACGCAAAAGAAAATGTGACTTAACACTTCAGTAATTGCTAGGAAAGTCAGTCTTGTAAGTAGTCATTAAGGAAGCAATATAATATAATGCAATCCTAAAATTTTTATGTGTTTGCAATCTTCTGGTTACTCTAATGTTTTCCCAATCCCTACCATTGACTCCAGAATTACAAACCTTTGGAAGTTTGCAAACTCGGCTAAACTTTTAGCCATTGTGTGTTAGTTAAGTCAGCAAGAAGAGTAGTCGTGACAGAGGCAAAAGATTGATCTCACCTAACCTGAGACATATTAGGTAACTTGAGACAGTGAGTTACATCTGAGCTAGTCATCTGGATTCAGTTTGTTGTTGATGGAGAAAGACTGGGTCTTTGGGATGTGATTCATCTCATCCTGCAATAAATGTCAAATGATGTCTCACTAGTTGTTGGGAGAAACAGTGAAGCTATAGCTGTCCAGCTCCGAGATCTGCACTGAGGTAAGATGAATCCTACCCAAATTCGTGAGATATGAAGATGGCTTAAACTACTAAGCCATTATGCTGTTTACTATTTCCCTTGGTAACTTCCGTGGAGCTATACTGGATATTGTTATTCAAATCAGAGTGCAACTTCTTTAGTTGGACACTATAAGTAGCGAAAATGGGTTGAAATAGAAATAGCATTAATTGGCATATATAGATCATTTTGGGGGGGGGTTATCTTTCAGCTTTCAAATTAAAACAACATTTTACCTTTTCTTTGTTTTTTTCCCTTACATCAGCAGTACATGGTGGGAGGACAAGAGGCAAGGATATAACGAAAGCCCTTTTCTCATTAGGATGGTGAAACATTGGAACAGGTTGCCCCAAGAAATTGTGCAGTTCCTGTCCTTGGAGATTTGCCTAGATAAAGCCCAGAGCAATCTGCTCTGACCTCAGGGCTGACCTGGCTTTGAACAGTAGGTTGGACTAGAGATCTCTTGAGGTTGCTTCCAACCTCAATTATTTTATTTTATCATATGAAATTCCATACAGATATTCTTGGCTCCTGACAGCTACTGGAGGTGCAGACAGTTGGTATAGACTAGAATCTCTAGCTCTGTGCCTCCCTGCACTGCATAGCATCACTGGCTAAAAGCAGGGTGCAAAATTATGACTACTCGGAAGACAATAATAGCATTCCACTTGATAGAATGAGACAAAGCTTTTAACATATGATCTTCAAACAGTCCTTATTCCAGTTTCTTAAAAGAGAATTTCTGTATCTACTATGGAAACCATGAATCAAAGGGATGATTTTAACTGACAAGAACTGCAATCATCCAAGACAAAGAAAAGTAATTTGACAGGGTAATTCCAGTCATTCTGTCCATACTAATTACCTTACTCATGCTGATCATAGGAACTGTCAATGTATTTTCATCCATTCTATAATATCTCATGAATCCTTAAATCTAGTAATTGGGGATAACTCTTACTGATTACTCATTGATTGAATTTGGATGACTGCAGTTACAAGTAAAGGAAAGAAAATGATATTAATAATGACATTAATTCTGCCAAAACAGGCAATCCTAAAAAGGAAAGCATATTTGGAAGGGAGCAATCTATCCTTTAAAAAAAATGAAATGCATATTTTCATATTTGAGAAATAATTCACAGAAAATATGTTTGAAAGCTAGAATCACAAATCGTGTTTCCTTTGATTTTCTTACCGTTCTTAAACCAGGTAGAATTCATTCAGCACAGTCTGGTCTTAGATCTGTCAAAGGATAAGAAAACTTTCCATTTTCACAAAATATTTTGCAGGTAATTTGTGATTTGAGGAAAACCCCAAACTGTATCTTGTTGTTCTGTAACATCAAGAGAAAAAAAGAAAAAGGGTTTCCATTAACACTTTTTATATATCTCTATTTGTCAAATTGTCTGTGATTCTCTGAGACTATTAACAAGAGAAATGATTTGGGGGTTATTTTTAAAGAAGCTTGGATGAACCACGAGCATTTTTTTCAAGATTACTTAGTGTTTAATAATGATTAGCTTATATTCAGCAATAGATTGAGTACCTCAGAATTGCCCTTGAATGAAAAGTTTAATTTAGCCTTCTGCTCCTCTGCTTTTCCAGCTATCAATGGACATTTTGCTACTGATGTCTATGACAGCAAGCACAAGCTTTTATTTCCTTCCTTTGATGATAGCTCACATGTGGAACAACTTATAAAACCACCTGTATCAGAAAAGACTCTCCATGCATGACTTCAGCTCTGGCCAAGGAAACGCAGTCATGCTTCCTCCTAGCCTCATCCTAGGCTTTATCCAGTAGCAGATTTGCTTCCTAGATTTGCCTGTTAATAGTCGTGGGGGAGAACAGCAAGACGATCAAGGTTTCTTTTCCGGAATTTAGAAGATAGTGTTGGGGAATAAAGAGAAAAACAACAAAAACTGCTACAAAATCAGCATCGTAACGGTGAACAACTGAGATCAGGTAGACTTTTAGGGAAATGCTCTGCAGACAGATGGGTAGCTGTGGCTGTTTTGGCACAAACAGTGGTAGAGCAATTATCATGCTCCCTCTGTGCATTGCACAGAAATTGTGTCATTTCATGCATCATTCACGACTCATTACCAATACCACAACATCTAAATTATTCTGAACATCAACAAAGCAAATATCACTTTGGCTGGTTTTAGACTTGAAAACTTGTGAGTGGATAAGATCATTTTCAATTTACTATAATATCAAGAGATGCACAATTTCCGAACATATAGCTAGATTTTGAAAAGCTTGAAATACTTGTATTCTGTCTTGAATGTCCTTTTCCCCTCCAGAGATATTACTGTTTTGTGCTAAAGAGGGTAGTTTTTCATATTTATTGTTTAGTAAGAAATATTTCCAGAAATATTACTGTTTTGTGCTAAAGAAGGTAGTTTTTCATATTTATTGTTTAGTACTCTTCTTTAAAAGAGAAAGTAAGCAGAGTGAAAATAAATAGGGGATTTCACTGCACTTAGTTTGTCAGTAATCGTTCTTGTTCTCCAGGTCATCCCCCAAATAGTGAAAAGCTATAGCTAAGAAGAAGCCAAAGTCAAGAAGTCTTGACCTCTTTGCAACCTCAAGATGGCTTTTCTCTGGACAGCACCATATACCATGCAGCACTGAATGGGATTACAGCAAAAAAAAACCTTCCAAAGAAAGCTAGGTAGTGTTGTTTTCTCAACCACCATTCTGCTTATAGCAGCCCTTTCTTCTGGCAAATGGAAATTGCCCATTCCTGTGCTCACTTTCAGGTACCAACAGGACCAGTTTTCCATCAAGTAGTGTAAGGTTAAGTAAGGTGGTGTAAATAGCTTAAAGTTCTAGAGATCTGCTCACATCCTATCAGCAACATGCAATTAAAAATATCTGAATAGGCATCTCATTGAAAAAATTATAGCTCATATAATTTTTTATTTTCCTAGAATCTGATGGCTCAGAAAAATTAAACTGTTATTAAGCATGCAGGGTCAAAACCAGTTGTTTAATTTTCATAGCTTACCTGTTTTGGAATCTTGATTTCCTTTTTAGTTGTTTCCAGTTTTTGGATTGAATTAATGAAAGGAAGAGAAGAATGAAAAATGGCTGAGTTTTTATTTCCTGGTACCAACAACTTCCGTAAGTTCACCTTGGAATCCTTGGCTGCTATTGAAAAGAGAATTGATGCCAAGAGGACTTGTCGAAGAAATACTGCAGACCAGAAACCCGAAGAAAAAACACGCCCTCAACTGGACCTAAAAGCTTTCCAGAAGTTACCTGCTCTCTATGGAAATCCTCCACCGGAGCTCATTGGGGAACCCCTGGAAGATCTTGATCCCTACTACAAAGATCGCAAAGTTAGTGTCAACCACGTTGTTCAGAGTTGTTATTTAATTGCATTGCTAAGGAATGCTTAAGGAATGTTTTATTAAAGCACCATAGTTTATATTTCCTTTTAAAAAAACTTTGCTCTTAATCATTGCTCTTAAGATTATAGTAAAAAAGGCATGTGACTTCCCTGAGTCTGGAGATGCACCCAAAGCTGCAGAAGCTGATAGCTCAATGTCACTGATAACAAATGCACAACTGGGCACAGGATAAAAAATATGTTTCACACTTGCTGCACAGAAATCTCCAGTGTTGTTTAGATCAAAAGGGTATTGCAAGCTCTAACTGTGTTAGGCCAAGGGCAGCAGAATGAAAGCTGCTGCATTATAAACAGCATCTTGAACTGTTTATTGGTTTCGTTCTCCTGTGTTGCAAATATTTAATGATCTTAATTGTGAAATTTTGCATATATATGTATTTATATAACTTCAAGGAAGAACCTTTTTTTCCATATGTAAGTATCACATATATTTTCCACAAAGAAAAATATTTTGGGGGTGATATAACCCTAAAAGCAGATTCTCTAACTAGTTATAAAAAAACAGGTATAAATAAATAAAATGTATGAAGGAAGAAAAAGAGGTTTTGAGACAGCCCCATGAGAAATTATAATCACTTCGTAAATTCTTTTAATTATTTTATATGGTTTGAAACTGCATGTTCTTTTCTATCTCCGTGTTTGTTTCACTTGTGCAGACAATAAATTATCATCTGAGTATAAACATTTAAAAACTTTTCCTGGGAAGTCCTTAAAACAAAGCTCAATACTCTGAGTACAATTTTTATTTATTTATTTATTTATTTTAAAAAAAGAGATAAAATGAGAAATAAAGGAAATTAAGCTTATTGCTTGAGAAATGATTAATAAATTTAATAGATTTAATATATAAATCAGTTAAATCATTTTAATTATTTGATCTTAGAAATCAGGGATCATTATCAACATTAACTTATAGAGAGATAGAGGCTACAATTTTTCTTTTTGACTCTACATAGTTAAACTCAGTGACAAGTCCATTTTATTTAAAGAGAATAGTCGTTAGTTAAAGAAGCTTGGTGCCCAACTCTTTATAAGGCTTAAGATTTAAAATGAAATTCAATATGGAGATTTTACTCTAATTTAATAGTTAACAGATATTAACACCTCCATCAATTTATGATGAAAGAATTGCAAAGTATTTCCTGGAGTCTTCCCATTGAAACAAGTAGGTTAAAGTTAAGTCAATGGCAATCTCTTGCTCATCATCACTCATAGCACAGGATATAATACAAAAATGTGTTTGCTGTTCACCTTCTGCAAAGCTTTAATTGATATTTCTTTATTTTTTTTAAGGTTTTCATAGTGCTGAACAAACAGAAAACCATCTTCAGATTTACTGCTACACGTGCCTTATGGATCCTGAGCCCTTTCCATCCACTCCGAAGAACAGCAATTAAAATTTTAGTACATTCATATCCTTTTTGTTGGCTTCATTTGTTTTTATTTTATTTTATTTTATTTTATTACAAAGACCTATATAATACTATGCTGTTACATTTTACGGAATTGAATGAATCTAGTGTCTTCCTCACTCCAGATAACCGCTGATTATGAGTGAACTTAGAAATTATTCTTGTCTTCTGCTCTTGTTCTACTTAAACAGTTTTGTAGGTATCGGGAGTAATGAAGACTGACTTTCTACAGATTTTTTGTTTCAAAAATCATCTCTTTATGTTGACTGTCTGATGTCTCATAAACAGATACTTTAATCCTGAAGCCTTTCTTAGGAAAAAAAAAAAGTAATAGGATTCCCACCCTCTGTCTTATCCTCTGTTTACCTAAAATATTGGGATTCAATCTCTGCTTTTGCATCAGCCATGTCAGAATTAATCAACCACTGGGCAATTTCAAGAAAAACAGACTGAGATGGTCCCACATACAAACACAAAGTATGATTTAGTGCGCTTAGTTTTTTTAGGAAAACTGTTTGAAAAGTGTGTCTTTGATATAAGAAACTGAAAATGTTCAGGGGTGTTCTTGTAGGGAGGAAGGATGTCTTAACAAAAAGTTAATAGAGATCCCTCCTCACACCTGGATGAGCTAGAAAAGACCACATGCCTGGAGCAAGTTGCGATGACTCTGAGTTGCCTTCATAGAAGGGAGTGAAACGTCTTCTTATGAACTTGCCCTGTATGGCAGGATGGATGACGTTGGTACCTCTACTTGAGGTACAGCCCAGGCATATGTGATGATATTTGAAAGCACCTACAGTTGAAGCCAAGAGGTCTTTTGGGGTTGGATAGGGCGAATAAGGGAAAAGGTAGGGTTCCTTCACATGCACATCACCCTCCTGGATTGCCAAAACTCCTGCTGTATGACACAAGGAGCAAGAACTGGCTCCAGGGCAGGGCATCTAGGCTTAGGTGTGCATACATGAGCTAGATGCCCATGTTCCCACTAGCCCTATATGCTCAGAAGAGTCCAGAAAGCCTCTAGGCAGCCACTGAAGGTGTCTAGACAGAAGCATCCAGTGACTTTTAGGAAGCCTACAAGTACCCCAGCAGACCTCCTCCTGGGCCCTCAGAAGAGCACAGGTCTCTCAAGGTAAAAACAGCTGTGTGTGGCCTTGGGTAAGTTATTCAAATCTTATAGCATATAGCTAATGTAAGTAAATAAATTTATATATATATATACGTACATATACATATGTGCATACATGTATATACATGCTTTATTATAAATAAATATATTAAACTTGAAATTTAATAATGAGTATATTTAATCATTTTTGTATGCCAGTGGTGATCAAACTGTTAGCTGAAAAGTTCACAAATTAACTGAAGATAAAACTCCAAAAATTGCCTAGATCATGAAGAGGAAGAGGGGGCAGGCAGAAAGAGCACAGTGAAACCTGTTTTAAACCTATGAACTTTGGGTGTGTGTGTGTTTGTGCAACAGCTCTATTACACATTTCTCTGAGGCCATTTCTCTGAGTGAATCAGCCCTGTTTAGCAGTTCTCCTGGTAGAAAATGACACTAAAAATGCATGATGCCTGACTCTTTATCAACACTAGTTTACTTAAAAAAATGAGGTTTTAGGGACAACTTTAGCAAATCTACAATGTCTAGTCTATATTGGTGTCAAGCTGTCAAAAATAAGAACAGCAGCGTATTATGTTCTAATGTGAACCAAAATTCACATACACACAGTTCTTGTATATGCTTTAAACTCTAAGGTAAATTTAGAGTTTATTATTATTTATTTTTTTATTATATTTAGTTATTATTATAGAGTTTATTAGTAATGAAATTTACAGTTAACCTTAGAGCTCTGTAACTGATGCAAAATCTGGCTACAGTTTCTGTTTTGGTCATATTCTTTGCCTTCATTCCTGTGATTTACAGTATTCACCTGGTTTATTATATGCACTATTTTAACTAACTGCGTGTTCATGGCTCAGACTGAGTCATCTAAGGCTTCTCAATCTCCTTCTTGGAGCAAGTATATTGAGTAAGTATTCCTGGGTATGTATGCATTTTAATCCTGTAGTTTTAATTAATTAGTTAGTCATCTCTTTCAATCTTCATTCAAAATGGTTTAGAGGAGATTTTGTAGAGAATTTGCTTGGCTTAGGACTTCAGCATTTCCTGCTTTAAGTGAAAGAGTGGATCTTTTTTGTGCCTTTTTTTTTAAATTCAATTTTTCATTGTAATAATTTTACATTTATAGAAGAAAGTGAGAGTAGATTAAGTTCCACAAAAGTGTGATTGCTTGAATATTGCTATCTTCCTGCTCCATTTTGTCTTCCCTTGTTTTGGAGATACTCAGTACTATTTCTTTTTTATCAAGGCACATTTCCTATTGGTGTCAACACTGATCTGTCATATCAAGAGCTGCTGTCTTTTTAAATTCTTTTCAATAATTTTGAAATGCTTAGTGTTTGCACTAATAAAATGTTCTGTCAGATGCTTCTGGCTTGTAGGATTCTCTTAGAACATACAACCCTTATTTTTAGCCCTGCCAACACTTGAATATATTGAATCAGAGTAATTCCATGCCTTTAGAGTCATATTAAAGCTAGATAATCCCAATTTTGTATTAATTTAATACTCCTGCTCTTACACTATGACAAAAAAAGTTAGACTAAAAATCCTGCTAATTCTACCATATATGGCGACAGAAAAGATTCCAAAACATATAGTTTTCCAAACAATCTTGTAATTATTTCTATTTCCTGACACTAAAATGGTTAGGTATGGCAAACCCACATCTAAAAAGGAAGAAGGCTCAGTATGGTGTTAACATATATTAACATATATATCTCCACCTGACACTGTGAGGCCTCCCTATCTTCCTGTGAGTAAACCAGAGTTGTATGTGCTGTTGGCTTTGAAACTACTGTTCAAATGGGTTTCAGTAATAATTTGAGAATACTTATTTGTAAATGAAAAGGGAAGTGCTGCATCCATATAATTTCTTAATGCATTTTCTGACTAGCAAATGAATGCCTTTCGAATTCTGCAGGGAGATCTCTGTCTTGTTGAAATGATAAGTGCACTCCATAAGTACAGAAGAGCTTTTACTAAAATTTTCCATTAATAAGAATAATTGTCATCTTAAATTGCAAATCCTGTACTGCTGTGTTTCTTGAAGCGCTTTAAACATGCTGCACTGAAATGGAGGTTGCATGTCCAAGATAAATAACACACAACATACCGCACATTTGCCTGGCCACTTGAAGTCAGAGGAAGATGGGAATTTAAATCATTATTCTAACAAGTGTCCAGAAAAATTGTCTTTCTCAAATTATGGGACTGGCATGAAAGCTTTAGAAAAAAAATGCAAAAAATATCTATTGCAGATTTGCATGTTAATAGCCAAATCCATATTGTTGTCAGCTGGTGTCTCAAACCACATGCTAGTCAGATATTGATGGAGTACCCTAAATCAATAGGAGTCTTCCCGTTACTTCTCTGGTTCCTTGCCCCAGACAATGAATAGTCTGACTGTGTCTCTTATCTTCTTCCATTAATTGCTAATGTTGCGGTTTTTCTTTGGCATTTTTCTCCCTTAGACTCACTTTCACTGGCATTTACACTTTTGAATCACTGATAAAGATACTGGCAAGAGGATTCTGCCTAAATGAGTTCACTTTCCTTCGTGATCCATGGAACTGGTTGGATTTCAGTGTTATCGTTATGGCGTAAGTGGGGACGTACAAAATACAGGTTATTTGTGCTCTGTTTCTGAAGTTTTCAATGCAGCTAAGTTTTCAATGCAGCTGTGCAGAGGCAGTCTGCATGTGCAGAGCACAAAACAGGCTTGTGGGTCATAACTACACTGAAAACTCTACTGAACACTGAGTCTATGATTTATTACCCACTGTATAACAGCAATATGCTTGTGTCTCAAGACAGGAATAGATTGTTGTGCAGAGCAAGCTCTGGTTAATCTGTTCAATCCCATTTGAAATCACCCAATTGGCCTTTTACATTGGCTGCATTTCAGTCAGTGTGATGCAATAGCAATGCTGTCAAATATAGATGAACCTATAGACAAACTGATGAAAGTGTAGTTTCGAAAGAAGAATGGTATGTCTAGGTACCAGAATACTGGGTTAACTATGATTTCTTTATGTCTTAAATCATTGTTTGAGCTTCAGTTTGCAGCAATTAGTGTTTCTGCTGGTTAGAGCCAGCTACAGAAGAGAGATGGAAGCAGAACATCTCAAGTAGTGTTTCAATCTCTGACTGCAATGGATAATTTTGAGTAATTTTACTATTATCTTCAGTTATATTTTAAGCACATGGCATTTTAAGATGCTGACAGAAAATCAGTTGTGCACAGGCCAAGGACTACCTTATAAGGAAGTTCTAATAAGCAAGAAATGGCTTTCAATTTTATAGAATTTCAGACAAACTCTTAGAAATTTATTAATGTCTAAAATATATTGAGAAGGATTAACAGTTAATGATCACTGTTTACTCAGTTCCACAGCCTGACATGTCATTTCTTGATTTTACAGATATGTGGGAGCATTTAGTAAACTGGGGAGTGTGTCAGTCCTTCGGACATTTAGGGTTTTAAGAGCTTTAAAAACTATTTCTGTAGTTCCAGGTAAGGACCCTCATTTGTTGAATAATTTGTGCTAGTTGTGATTGTTATTCCTTCCGATCAAAATTATCCATTTTGCTTTTTCTTCCCTTTATTTTTTCTTTTTTTTCCTCTAATTTTAATGATTGCAGACACAAAATTGCAGTTCTCAAAAAATGAGAACTGATCTTGTGTTCTTGTATATAGAAAAAAATAATTTTTATTACCTTTTTTTAAAGAGTACAAATTAAGAAAGATTGGTTTGCTCATGCTGTCTCTCTGGTCTTTTTCATTATGGTCATTTTTCATTATTATCTTTCCAGAAATCACAGATTTGTCAAAAGATATCAGTATTAGAAATTTCATTTGAATTACACACATCCCTCTTTCTGGATAAGTAAAACTAGACTGGTCCCTCATCCTTCCATAAATGTGTTCCAGGGAATAAAGGAACTCCCCTATCACCCTGAATGTGGCAGGGTCAGTCAAATGAGGAAAAAATATTCTCCTGCTAGCTCCTCACTCCTTCAAACTACACAAATGTCACATGTGAGGCTCAGTTTTTCAGTCTGTTTTCTCCCTAGGACTCAAGATCATTGTAGGTGCTCTCATCCAGTCTGTTAAGAAACTTGCTGATGTGATGATCCTGACAGTTTTCTGCCTGAGTGTCTTTGCCCTCATTGGCCTCCAGCTTTTTAAGGGAAACCTGAGACAAAAGTGTATCAGGAACTACACAAAGATCAATGAAACTGTTTATGCTGATAACAGAACATGGGACTCCTTTGAAATGTTTATTAATGATACAGGTAATTTTTCTTCTTTGCTCTTTTTAGTAGGACACTATACACACACTTTGCGTGCATGTGTGAACACCTTTTGCAAATCACATGAAGTATTTGAATTAATTGTTATCTGAGCATGATATTGGTCTTCAGGTTGCTATAACAACTTGCAAGCATCCAGGAATACTTCCCTCCCCTTCATTATAAGAAATCATACCCCCAAAGTTTGCAATAATGTCCAATTCTATTTCCCAGAACAATATGACGGGAACTGAAACATGCATTAACTCATTATCTGATGTAATTCCCCAAAGTTTGGCTTTTATTCCATGCTCAGGAGCTTTAAACATCTCCATTTTGCTGCTCCATTAAGCACTCTGCAGATTAAGAGAGGAATTTGCCTCTCTAGATTAAAAGAGAAGAGTTTTTCTAAAAGTCAGTTAATTTTTTTTTCTTCACATCGTATGTATCTTATAAATGTAATATATAATTAATAGCATATATATATGTTATCTGTTATATATATATTCTTATCATATATATCTGTATATAAATTTTGTGTGTATGACTTGACTGACATGGGTGATGGAAGAATAGAGCAGAGATGTGAAAATGTGCTGAGCAATTCTTCTCAGAAGAATCAGAACTAGAAGATGCAGCTCAGAAAGGAAAAGCATTGAAATGAGGGCAAAGTCTTAATATGCATGAAAAAATATATCCGAAGTGAATAGCACACATATACAAACTATGGGGAAAGTTTCTTCAGTACAGGAAATCTCCCTAGAGATATCAGATGTAGCAGCAACTATAGAGGGAGAAAAGTGTTCTGCCAGAGAAATACGTAAAGAAGACATACAAGATTGCTGTTGGTATGCACTGAGTGAGGAAGATTTGTTTATATTTCTTTAATAACCTGCTTGGTCTTGGTCTCTTGGTCTACCAAGAGAAAAAACTGTCCTTATATAAATGAGATATGAGGAAGTAATGATTAAGTTTTCCTCTCTCTGATGCTTCCCTGCTCAGTCTTCTTTAAAAAGCATTTTTTGAATTTGCAGAAGCAAAGACAAGAAAAAAAAAAAGGTAGAAAAAAGCCCAAATAGTGATTCCTTCCTTTGCAGTGTATTTACACCATATGGCACGGCAAGATATTATACGCTCTGCTGTGTGCTCAGTTAGATTTGGGAAGCACCAGGAAGGACCAGCCTTGTATCTTGGATAATAAAACTACATTTTAATGGGGGCTAATGGCACCAGAGCTGTTATTTTTGGTCTGCTGCTAGCTCAGACATCAGAAAAAATCATGCAAAAAATAAAAAAGACTGGGGAAAGATGCCAGAAAGGGCACAGTTCCAGCATCTGAATGGGCACATCTGCATTTGCCAATGAAACAGGACTAAGACCCATTATCTGGCTCAGCATGGCCACGAACCATGTAGATATAAACCATATGGAGATATAAACCATGGCATGGAACTGTTTAGGCACAGCTCACCTCAAAACTGTGCCAGACACTGACCTATCTGTTACTAAATATGGGATGGCGCTTGAGCCTGTGTCCTCCCATTATCGAATTTCTTCATGCACATGAGGCCAAAATGGCAAATATTCTTAAAATGCTCTGTTTTGAAGACTGCCTAAAGCAAAGATGTATGTTTGTGCATATGCATAAATGTAGACAGGACATTTGGCATATGTTCCAGTCACTGTGAGAGCAGGAAACCTGTCTTCCTACTCTTAATGCTCATTTCATATTTGCTGTGCAGCAATTTTCATGCATATAAACATCGACTCACAGGTCACTGGCAATTTTCTCCACTCGTATTAAAGGAGAGAAGATGCATGCTAGAAAATGCTTTGATTTTACTTTTTGTTTGTTTGTTTGTTTTCCTCTATAGCAAACTTGGCTAGGAAGGAGGGCACCCCAGATATTTTACTATGTGGTTCTGGTGCTGGGTAAGTGCACTTAAGAATATTTCATGTTTTGAAATCAGCTCTGCTTCACTGCTTCTGTGCTTACTCAGTTGCAAGAGGGGAATGCAATGTAAATTCTACACTTTCCTTGACAGCAGAAACAGGAGCAAAGGCAACAAAATCTAGCAAGCAGTAAGGTAATTCAATGCAGGTAGAGTGTGAAGCATGAACTGCAGTTGGCTAATTCAGGTCTAAATTCTTCAAGCCCTTCCAGTAGATCCTACCACTTTGGCCACTTTTCAGTGACGGGCAGGGAGTGAAGACTTGGAGATGAGGGAAGGTCAGTGGCAAAGTCCTCCCCTCTTCTCTCCTTCCTCCTTCTCTGTCCAGCCTGTTGTCTCCTTTCTGCTGCTGAAAAGTAGGTACCGCTTCCTTCTTTACCATCAAATAGTGCCCAGAGTAGGTGAGGAGAGCAGAAAATGGGCTTGCAGGGTACTAAAATGCATAAGCGAACATAACTGAGCCCTCAGGTGAGATGAAGTTGTTTTTCTTGAAATCCACATGGTTAAAAGAGGTTTCTATTGCTACCTGTAGGACCTGCCCTTCAGGATTTATATGCCAGAAGGTTGGGTCCAATCCTGATTATGGTTTCACCAGTTTTGATACATTTGGCTGGGCCTTTCTTTCCTTGTTTCGGCTGATGACACAGGACTGCTGGGAGCGCCTCTATCAGCAGGTACTAGCTCCGTATGGTGCAGAACTGATGCTCTGGGTTGGGCAAGAGCCAGGAAGGAAAATGCTTAGAAAGGACCAAAACCTCAAATAACAGCAGTAACTGCAAGTCATGGAGACCGTATCCACCCTTCTACCTTCTAGCAAGCTGTGGTCTTTACCAGATTCCTTGGGAAAAAGAGATGGCAAAGGGCTTCCCAACACTACCGCTGTTATCCCACGGTCTTGGGGACATGGGACACACGGTCTGAGGGCACAAACCTGGGTTGTCCTGCAGAAATACAGCAGTGCCATCTTCCCCCGGCACGTAGCTGTCCTTGCAGGATGTGTGACTGGAGACTCGCAGGCAAAGGGAGAGGGAGAAAGTGGGTGGAAAAAGCCCAAGAAGGATCTATTTCTATTTAAGGTTTATGGCACTGGCTTTTTTTTTTTTTTTTCCCTAGTAAGAGAAATGCTTCAAAAAGAATTTCATGCACACTTTGAAAAGGTATTTGGTATTTTATCTGGTAATTTTTATCTCTGGGGTGTTGTGCTTGCAGACGCTCAGAGCCTCTGGGAAGGTCTATATGCTCTTCTTTATGCTGGTCATCTTTCTGGGCTCATTTTATCTAGTCAACTTGATTCTGGCAGTGGTAACGATGGCATATGAAGATCAGAACAAGGCCACCATTGCTGAAACTGAGGCAAAGGAAAGGAAATTTCGGGAGGCCATGGAATTAATACAGAAAGAACAAGAGGTAGGAAATTCAAAAATGTTAGAAACATTAAACTGGGTGTACAGTTATTAGTTGTTTAAGAAAAAAATATCAATCTCTTTTGTGAGAAGTGGCCACTAATAGCAACAAGACCAATTGATAACTTATTAAAAGTAGTGATTCGTAGAGCAATAGGAACAATTTCTTTGTTCAACTCTAAATTTTTCCTGTGAAGCAATGAATTTTTTGTTGTGGATAATGAGCTTTAAAAGATCTCTTACTGCAAGCAAAGTAACATTTTAAAGTCTAGAAGTTCAAAGTTCCGTCACCTAACAGTTTACAAAAGATTATAATTTATTTTGTGTTTTATTTTGTGTTTTGTTATGTGTTTTATTTTTCTACTACTCCATTCTTGTAGATTGCTGAGCAGAGAATTCAGAAATTCAGTTAATCAGCTGCATTAACATCTGAGCCAAAGCCTATGGTAGATGTGTAAAAAGAAGTCCCTCAGTAACTTAAATGGCTTAGAGGCTCCTGGAAGGCAATACTGCTGTGGTTTGAAAACAGTGCTCTAAACCCAATATAGGTCAGCCACAGGGTGAATACAGTCCTAGGGTCACCTAGGGGGAAGATTGAATTTGAGCACTGATTACGCATTTATTTGGGATGGGGGAAAGATATATTCTGCAGCATAATTTTCCAAATGTCTATTTTTATTGTAAGATAAACTGCCATATGGGAGAATAGAAGCTATAACATGGTTGTTTTGCCCCTGGTAGGAACAATACATGTGATCATGTAAAATACTGCAAATAACAAGCTTTTTGGTGATCCATATGTTGTAGGGATTCTCTCCTCTTCCTTGTAAACCCATCGTATATTGGAAGAGTGTTAATGAATGTTGTGAAACCTACAGTTAGGAAGAAAAACAAAGAGCACACAAATGTTTTCTCTCTGTTTGTATTCTAATACATTCTAATTACACAACAAGAATTCAATCTTTTTTTCCTTTAATTTTAGTCACTGGCCATTAGAGGAATTGATATCATGTCAATTTGCTCCTTTGAAGTCTCTTCTTTGTCACCTAAAGAAATCAAAGAAAGAAGCAATAGGAAAAAGAGAAATAAGTCCCTGGGGATAGAAGATTATGAAGAAGAGCAATTTTCCAAATCAGAATGCACAGACAGTCAACGAAAGTTGGTAATCTATTGTCTGAATCAGAGATCCTTACATCTTTGACAGTGTTAATTCTAAAATAAGTTGCTGGAAAGCACAAACCAAATCCTATTACAATGATTGAGCCTTTAAAATGAACAAGCTTTAGAGATGAGGAAGCTTTATATGTAAAATTTCATTTGAAAGGTAAATATTACAGATAAAAGAAGAGTTATAATAAATGTTGTAATATATTTTGTGTCACTGAGATACAGGAAAGAAAGCGATCTGGTATCATAATTGAACTTATATGCTATCATTATGTGTAAAAAATATATATATATTTAGTATATAACCATAAGGCTTGTAATAAAGGACTTCATTATCTACCTTTTAAAAACTAAATAAAATCTTACCTGAATGATCTAAATTAGAGTCAGGATTTGAGAGGATTGATAGGAAATATTATGAAACACACAAAAAATATTGCTTTCCAGACTATTTTATGTGATATTATTCCCTTCTCTTTTTATTCTGCTCCTTGGGAAGAGAATTCCTTATTCCCTCTGGAGAGAGTCCAGCACAGGGTTACAAAAGTGATTAGAAGACTGGAGCATCTCTCCCATGACGAGAGGCTGAGATAGCTGGGCCTAATTTGCCCGGAGAAGATAGACTGAGAGGGGATCTAATCATTGTGTACAAATGTCTGAATGGAGGGTATGAAAAGTATGAGGACAGACTATTTTCAGTGGTGGTTATAAACTAAAACACAGGAAGGTCTGTCTGAACATGAGGAGATAATTCTTTACTGTGAGGATGAGAGCGCCCTGGGGCAGGTTGTCCAGAGAGGTTGTGGAATGTCCTTCTCTGAAGGTACTAAAAACCTGGACACAATCCTGGACAACATGCTCTGGGTGACCCTGCTTGTGCAGGGGGGACTTCACTACATGATGTCCAGAGGTCCCTTCCAACCTCAACCACTTTGTGAGTCTGTGATTCTGTCATTGGGCTTTTAGGCTCTCCTTGGCCTGGTGCATGGTCCCAGTACAAACCGGATGAATCGCAGATTTAGCCATGGCAGCGTGTTTAATTTCCAAACGCCCAGTTCCAAAGCTGATTTCGGTGATGAGGAGACCCGAAGTGCTGGAGAAAATGAAATCCAGGGTCGGCCACTGTCGGTCACGCAGATGGGCAGGCGCTCCAGCCTGCAAAGCCAAGTGAGCCACGGTTCTCACTCTGCTACCCCATACTGCCTGCAGAGCAGCAACAAGTGGCTCAACGTGGACGATTGCAGTGGTGGGATTTCATTGGCGGGCGGAGGGAACGGCAGGGTGCACAACCTAGACCCAGCTTCTTCAGAAGGGCTGACACTCCCTCCAGTTATGGAAGACCCATCCAAGGGTGGCTTGGTAAGTCATATTTTAAATATATGCTTCATATCATAGTTTCTCCATAAGTGTTATTTTTTTCTTTTCTGACACGCCTATGAATTTTTAACAATTTAATTTAAACAAAAAATAACGGTGCTAGGGATAGTTGCCATTTGTCAGACACCAGTAGTGATACTGATCTGAGAGGTTCCCAAAGGCTGGAGTTCATTGCCTTAGCACTTCTATTATAAACTCTGTTTTTCAGCTGTGCATGACTTTTAAAAGTTTCTAGTGCTGGAATTATAGTGGTCACCAAAGAGCTTTTTTATCCCGTGTCCTGATAGGGGATCATTTAGCACAGTACCAGTAGTTCCCTTCTCTCTCATAGCATCTTTAACTTCATGCACAATCTTTCTCTGTACGTTCTCCATGCAGGTAGAGATGTTCTACCATGGTTATCTCTCAGCTCTCTCCTTTTCTATCAGCTTCTGCAATATTTGATAGGGATATTTCTCCTCATACCCCTGAATGATTCCTAGGTTTGTCCTGTTGCTATTAGATGTTTGCGAGCTAAGTTTCCTGCAGCATTATTACTGAAGAGCAAGACCTTCATTCCATTACAGCTATTATACCATGGAAAAAAGACACATTTATTTGGCTACCTGTCATCATACCTATTAACTTGCACAGTTACCCATCATTGCATCCTACTTCATTTTGTTCCTGTGGTATCTTCCTAATCATGTTTACTTCTTCAAGCAGCCAGATGTAAATGAGGAGAACAGCATGATGCATTTGCATCCTCATCTGTCAGTGGAGCACTTTAATGAGGCACTTCAAAGACAAAGGGCAGCAAGTGCAGTCAGCATAATTACCAGTGTCTTGGAGGGTAAGTGGCTCCTCATTATGTTTATTGCAATCCTAAGATAATGTTAGTGTGAAAGACCAAAATGTCAATACATTTCTGAAAGGTTAACAGAGAATCTCAAGAGGTGCAGTTAGGAATTTCATCCTTAATTCATCTTTTTTTTTAATGCATTATAAGCACAGTCTTTATGTACTTGAACACATCCTGTGTACATCATAAGATCCCATTTTGCAGGACGAACCATGAAGTGAGGAGTGATGATGGGTGGAAGGAATTTCTTTTGTGTTATGGTGCAAGCCTGTGACTTTGGCTTCTTTTCTTTCAAGTTTTGATTACTTGCTGTTATTGCACCATATTATTCACCATTTTTTCACCACATTGCTCAGTGATAATGATTTAATTATTATTGGCTTTTCTTTTGTTTTTAGAACTTGAAGAATCCCAGTGGAGATGCCCTCCCTGCCTGAAAAAATTTGCTTTAAAGTATCTTATTTGGGACTACTGTCCGCTTTGGTTGAGAATCAAGAAAAAAGTGGCTGCTTTCATAAAGGATCCTTTTATTGATCTCACCATCACCGTCTGCATTGTGATGAACACTTTGTTCATGGCACTGGAGCACAATAACATGTCAGATAATTTTAAATCAATGCTTAATGTAGGCAACTTGGTAAGCAAATTCTCAGATATATGGTATTTTATATCTGGACTGATTGACAGGTATTTTTACTTGAGATAGAAAGAATAACTTTTAAAATGAAGGATAAGCAAAATATAAGTTTATGAACTCTGAATTTCTGACCTATGCAATTCCCCAATTTTGTTAATGCATTTTTAACTGGCACTTCTGAGAAAGCAGAAAACAAGTCTCTCATTTTAATTGAAAGTGCATTAAAAGTTAATAAAAGTGGACTTTGACCTGCCTATGACTATTACTGTCTTTGTAGGAGCATGATTTAAAGATTAGATATATTCATGGCAACTCTTCGGCTGATGCTGTTTACTCTCTCTTTGTCACAGATTTTTACAGGAATCTTCACTGCAGAAATGATCTTGAAAATCATTGCTCTAGATCCCTATTATTATTTTCAGCAGCCCTGGAATATTTTTGACTGTGTAATTGTCACATTGAGCTTAATTGAACTGAGCCTTCCCAAGCACAAGAGCAAGAAAGAAAGGAGAAAAGGAGGAACCATGACAGTTTTACGATCCTTCAGATTGGTAATGCCTCATGCTGCCTCAGTTGCATAAAGCATTGTGTTATGAGTATCACAGAGAAGTTTTCTGTGGTTTGCAGTTAGTACAAACTTATTTTTTAATTTATTTTATCCCAGTAGTGGGAAAAAGAAATATGTTGTTAAACACATTAAGCTGTTAGAGTCAAACTTTAATGTCACGTGCATTTTCTTCGAATATAGTGCGAAATTTTCAGAAAAAAGATATTCTAGATTAGAGATGTTATAAAACTGTTATTGAAATCTATGACAGGCAATCTGGAGAATCTGGAGAGGTGCAGTCTCGGGAAATCTTAGGAAAAAAGTGGAAGAGTAGAAGTACAGAGAAAAGTATACTTTAAAGCAGGGATGATTTGAAGAGAAGGTATTCAGATTATGTAATATGGTCTGATTTGAACACTTGAGTTATTTCCAAAACGTACACACCTTTTCTCATAATACAGCATAACTCTGGTCCTCCAAAACTACACACAATCCATCTTCTGGAGGTGTCTTTCCATCTTGACTGTAAAGAGAAAGTCGCTGGTTAGTTTAAATCAGAGGCCTGATCTGACCTAAAGCTAGATATGAGGAATCCCAATCTCAAAAAACAAATGGACACAAATTCATAAATATACTACGTTAGCCCCACCTTAGTGTCACAATGATGTATGTTTTATGTTCTTAGAATAGTTCAGAATGTTTATAAAATGTTCTACTGCAAGTTTTGAATGGTGCAAAGATTGGTTACCTCTACTGATATCTAATGCTATGCTTTATCTTTTTACACAGCTAAGGGTCTTCAAACTGGCAAAGTCCTGGCCAACTTTAAACACTCTTATTAAAATCATTGGTAACTCCATGGGTGCCCTGAGTAATCTGACCTTCGTCCTGGCAATCATAGTTTTTATTTTTGCTATAGTAGGGGTGCAACTTTTTGGGAGAAGTTATGGGGACAACTGTGATAAAATAGCTAAAAATGGCAAACCACGCTGGCATATGATGGACTTTTTCCACTCATTCCTCGTAATTTTCCGAATTCTGTGTGGAGAATGGATTGAGACCATGTGGGATTGCATGGTGGTAGCTGAAAAACCATTGTGCCTCGTTGTGTTTTTGCTGGTCATGGTGATAGGAAATTTGGTGGTGAGTTGTTGATATTTTTCCTCTCTTTATCCTGTAAATAGTAGAATATACTTAACTCTTTTATTAATAAATACTGGTTTACCAAAACAGAAGTAGAAGACATATATCTCATTACGGTTTACAAAAGACATTTTACCTTTCAACCCTGAGCTTCTGTTCGTATTTTCAGTGAGTTGCTTTGTGTACAACATCATTGACTCTTTCATGTGACAATGTGAGATGGAATTTAGCTACAAATAACTTCCCAACTGAAATAGCAGAGGCAACTACTTTCCTTCACTTGTCAGGGTCTGGCTGTAAATAATCACTGAGGTTTAAGGCTTGCCTCATTGAAATAATGAAGTGATAAATCCCTCTGTAAATCAAAATCTGGGTTTTGTTTAAGATCTTGTAGGTATGGAGTTTGTGATAAGTAAATAGCAGAATCAACTCTTATATCATTAAAATCATGATTTTCTTTAATCACAAGTGTAAATGATCCTCTGTACATGCATTCACATCCAAGGGCAACAGTTTAAGCTAGCCATTCCCACTGTGGCAAGTGAAGTTCGTGTCACATAAAGTTAACTGTGAATACTATTAATTGCTTTGGCAAAGATATTCATTGAGACTCTCGTTATCAACAGAGATGTATCTAGGGTTTGAATTATTTTCATAAAAACTGAAAAAAAGACACGTGGAAAGAACAGGTTTCTGAATGGCTTATATTCTCCACCAGCCAGACAATGAAGGCATCCTCGCTGCCCAATGATAAAAATTGAGATATGTGAATTCCATCCTAAATTGCAACATGCGTTAAAATAACCTGGAACTTAAGAAAAAGTTGAAACCTGCCTTCCACATACCCCCTGCTAATAATAAAATAATAATAGTGATAATAATACATTTATAATTTTAATGTATTCAAAAGCAGGAAGGAAGTTTTCATTTGAGGAACTTGGTTCTGTTTTTGTGACAGTGTTACAGATTGGATAGCTTAATTATGTCGCTTTTCTATCAATTCTAACAGCCATGCCCATAGTCTTTGCTATTATAACCTTTGAAAAGTCATTTGTGTTAAATATTGGCAATTTCTATACACAGATCTATTAGCTGCTATTTTAAATAATTTATGGTATGGAAGGAGTTATGGCAGCATAAAGCGTTCTGAGAGATATGTTTGTCTCATCGACAATAACGTGATCATAGTCTTTTTTTTTTTTTACATTGTTTGTTCAGTAAAACTAAACTTTGATAGCAGCTGTAGTCTTCCAAATAAAATTTTAAATTTCTGAGTTATATTCTGATGACTTTTTTATTATCATTATTTCAATGACTTCCAGGTTCTCAACCTGTTCATTGCGCTATTATTGAATTCCTTCAGCACTGATTCTCTCCAGACAACAGAAGATGATGGAGAGATGAATAATCTTCGGACTGCCTTTGCTCGGATTCACAAGGGATTTCACCTTGTAAAGAGCATTATGTGGGATAACTGTTGCAGAAAGCTCAAGCATCTGAAAAAAGCACATGGAAAGAAAATTAAATTGACTGCCCAGAACCAGCTTGGTTTTGGAACAAAAGAAATGCATTGTAACGAGAATTATATTAATGAAAGGGTTGAGAAAAATGAGGACAAATACTCCAGTCTGGAAGATTTTATTAACAACCCCAATATATTTGTTTGTGTCCCTATTGCTGAGGCAGAGAATACCAGTGAGGGTTTTGAAGAAGAAGATAAGCTGAGTACATTTACAGTCACAGAATACAACAAAAAGGTAATAAATATATTTGCATTTGGATGCCAGAGTACAATATTATAGAAGGATGTATGTATCTTAGAAAAGTGTCCCTAGCAGAACAAGATGTTATGTGCATATCCATTTCCAGATGGTTACAAAATTCTGAAATAGAGCCAAAAATACAAGTGTTCAGAGTGCAGGTATATTGATCACTTGGAGCCTTTTAAAACCAAGATTATTTCATCTTATAAGAAAGACCATAAACTGTTGGATTTCCTGCAAGAGTTGCTGGAATACGTGCTGTGTTATGCATAGATAACTGCATGTTTTGCAGAGTGTTGATAGATAACTGCAGCAGTCCTTTGTAAATTTGTAATTTATTAACCTACTTGGGCATTATTAACATGACAGACCGCAAATATAATTACTACACAAAGACATATCACAGTATTGTAACATGAACTCTTTCTTCTCAGTGATCCATTCTTTGTTTTTTGTCTTTGCAGCATGTAGGATATAGTAACTCTTAGAACAAAGTGGAAGGGATAAACATGGGATGGATCTATTAAGTTCATGATTTTTACATGGCAGCATAAATAATCCTTTTTTTTTAGGTTTTCTTCAGAATTTTCAGTTCTATTTTAACCATAGAATATCCTCTTTCTGGTTCCAAATCTTCCTACCTTAAGTATCCATCTTAATCCACATGAAAAAAATCTCACTTAACTTCCCTAGACAATGAGTTGGACTTCACTGCATTATTAATTCCTTGATTTGCTGTAGGCCTATGAAGAAAAACTTCCCTCTTTCTATCCCTAGGTAGAGTCAGAGTGAGGTACTCCAAATGATTACATCTGCATGATTCATCTTGTCCGGGGAGCCCTACTTCAAATGATTTGTATAACTTAACATTTCTTCCAATTTGTTCACCCCTGGAAAGGAGAAAAAAAAGAAAAAAACACACACACTCTAATCCATGGGTTATTTTCAGGAGGAAAATCAGCTAAGGCAAAGGGGAAGCTGGAGCAAAGCATCAGGATTGTCCTCTGAAGACCTCAGTGTGCTTTGCCTAGGCAAGGACAGGAAGGGGTCACCAGAACAAAAGGAGGTAACAGAATTCTGGTGTATAACATTGAGTTTCCAGTTCTAATTGAGTTCTGATGTGACTTTTTGTTCAGAGGTTGCTGGAATTGAATAAAGGTTGTGGGAAATGGAAGAAAAAAAATGCAGTTCAACATTGGGGAAGGGGTGTTTTCTCGTTCATTTTAATGCATAAGCTTTTACTAATTCTATTGCAGTGGCAATCTATAGATGGGTTTGTCACATAAAGGTTCATAGTACCTTTTCAGCAGCCTGTGTAGCGCAACTTGAGAGCTCAGTTTAGTAACTTTAGTCATGCTGAGCTTGATGGGGTTGGTCTATCTGGCTAATGATAGAGTCAGGACTGTGAACAAAGCTGAACCTCTGCTGGGTTGCTAGGTATTCACTCGAATATACATATATCTTTATACATGCGTACATGTATAGCAGGGAAAAGAGAGTACTTAGAAAGACTGTAAAATTATATGGTTATGAAAGGATTTTATGCTTCCAAATAAAAGTGGGAAATTCCTGTAAGTCTACCAGTGTCCTAACTATCTCAGTTCCAGGAAACATAACATGCTCAAAAAGAAACTAAAGGCAGTAGTTAGCAAGAAAAAATATTTTAGAATAATTTTGAATGAAGAATAAATTCAAACGTAATAGTGTCTTCTCCAGACTTAAAGACACAAAACCGTAGAATAAATAATCTGCAACAAACTGCTGTTTCATTATATGTTACGTGTTGTTGTGTAAGAAGTTTTGCAAATGGAGAATATATCTGATTCCACTTTCAACTTTACAAGTGCTTTCTTGAGCATTTCTGATGAAACTACATATTTATCTGCTTCTCCAGTTTAAATGTATTCTCCTATCTCTTCCTATTTTTAGCCAAGCTAAAACTTACCCGAGTTTGAGGACTTTTTGTATATACATAAAAGTTGCAATTTGTGAGCTCGTTAGATAGCTTACATTGGTTTGTGTAGATAGACAAATTCAGTATATTGCCTTGGCTCCATTTAAATACACCTGCAGGTATTTCTAAGTCTACATACTTTTAAAATCAAAGTGGATAGCCCTTAGTAATGCTATTTCAAATATTAGTACATAGCCAAGTCTGTTCGTTTGTTTGTTTTTTAATTATAATTTCTCAGGGAAAAATTTATTAAACCAGGGCTGAATGTAGGAAGAATCAATGCCTGATTTTACTTTGTTTGGCAGTTCGACAGTGTCAGCTCTTCTGAAGGCAGTACCGTGGATCTGACGAATCCTGAGGATCTTTTGAGGCAGATTCCAGAGTTTGCTGAAGATTTTAAGAACCCAGATATGTGTTTTCCAGAAGGTAAGAATCAGATCTTTTCACCAATGAGAAATGAGAAGAGTCAAAATTAAATCATTTCTCTAGTGATGCTGAGCCAATAGGACAAGAGTAATTTGACTTAATTTTAGTTGCCCACTAATCAGGCATCTGGTCTAAATTGCTGTCCCTCTCTAGTCTAGAGATGTTTTCTCTGTGGACGAAGCACTTCCTGCATTATAATGTCTTTTTAAAATATTATAGTGTTATACACTATAAATCCTAAGGAAGATTTGCACAAATGCCATTCCCTGCTTAATCCTCCAAACCAGATCCAAATTACTGGAGAAAAGAGGTTATTAAAGCAAAGTTTATCATAGACTATATATATCATACATATATGTGAGCTATATATACAGACAATCTATCTATCTGTATATGTGCACACACAAATTTATATATAATACTGCGTATATGTAACATAGAAATGCATGATATATATATTTTTCCATTTTTGGAGATGACAGAAGCCTCCTAACTTTTTTTTTCCTCACAAAAATGAAAAACATGAATTACCCTAGAACAGACAGTCAGGAAAATGTCACCCAGAGTCAGTTGGTAAAATGAATAATCAACTGGAAAGGAGATTTTGCAATGGGATATTTCTGGAAAACTTAACAGGTCATGCTGCCGGTGCCACTTATAAGAAGTACTAAAAATCATAAGTAATCTGCTGAGTTTGCACAGAAACATTCCCTTTTAATGCACCTAACAATTAGGCAATTCTTACAGGTTAGGTAATATAAAGTCAGATGCTGCATACATTCAAAAGCCAATAAATAATTGAATGATTGAACCTTGTTAGGTAGGGAATGATGTTGCAGTAGTAGAGTTAACTGTAATATCTTCTTAGTCTTTAAGTCTTTCTGTTCTGCTGTATTATGGTGTTGTTTCCCCAAGGCAGTGTTCAAAAACTGACTCTGTCTTTTGCAACAAGGCTCTTCCCCCAGCCCTGAAGTTTTGTGAGCCCAAACAGCAACTACCTGAGAGCAAATGTCTCAAAGTGTGTGGAAATAATGGGTCATTCAAAGGCATCCAAGCAACTGTATTATATTTTTAAATAGGAATAGGGGGGAAAAATAGATGCATGTATAAGTATCTCCTATCTTTTTCTCTCATGACAAAATAAGTGAAAAGAAACCAACAAAAACATCTATTTAAGGATTTCCAAGGAATTTCCATGCATCCAGAGTTTTCCTAGTAACCCTTCATTTCTGGGTGCATTCCTTGCTGTGTGTGTCTCTCCCTCAGGCTGCGTTCGACACTTTCGTTGTTATGCGGGTAGAGCCATGAACTTGGGAGGACAAACATGGTGGAACCTGAGGAAAACTTGCTTCCGAATTGTTGAACACTCCTGGTTTGAATCCTTTATCATATTCATGATTCTTCTGAGCAGTGGAACCTTGGTTAGTGTAACACAATTTTGTATATTTATTTAGAGACATTTTTAGTTTGATTTGTATGCAGCAAAGTGTTTTCAGCAAAAGAGACAAGTCTTCAAAGTCATCAGGAGGAAAAAGAAAGAGGTTTCACAGAGCAGTCATTCACTACTGTAATTATTACGAATGTATTGTTTTTGTTACCGCAAATTATGATTGATCCTGAACAACTCTAAAAATGCTAAACTCTCAGAAGATATTTCCATTCTGGCTCCATATTAGTTTTTAATGGCTTTCTCTGGTAGATATGTTAAATATACCTTATATATATTATATATATATAATGTCATAAAAACAAATACTCTTGCTTAATATTTTAATTACTCTTGACTCTTGCTTAATATTTTAATTCCCTTGAAAGCATAAGCTCCTCAAAATTTCTAAAAATATGCTCTCCTCCTAGAAATGTGCATGTGTGTGTGTCCACACAGAACTCTATGACATAGAGAAAGAGAAAGAACGGAAAGAGTTAAATTTCTTCATTGGTATATACCTGAGCAAAATGTGGAAGATGCTCAGATCTGAGTCAATCACATATTGAATGACTAGAAGGAAACTCAGTGATTCTAGATTCATTTTATGAAGGTCATCTTACTTTTGCTGTTTTATCTATATATTAAAATTTCAGGCATTTGAAGATATCCATTTAAGCAAGAGAACGCGTGTAAAAATTATGTTGGCATTTCTTGACAAAATATTCACTTTCATCTTTGTTCTGGAGATGCTTCTGAAATGGGTGGCTTATGGCTTCAAGAAGTACTTCACCAATGCCTGGTGCTGGCTGGACTTCCTCATTGTACATGTAAGTTCAGTCCTCAACGTTTGTAGGAGGGTCCTAATCCAAGATGTAGCAACAGAGCAGCCGATTCTTTTTAGGATGTGAATTTCAGATAGCTTGAATGGGTAACTCTCTTCTGGGAAGCACTGAACTCTTATCTTTCATTAATGCTCATGGCGGGGACATCACACTCTGGACACTGAAGGCTTGTTCACAATTGGCCTCTAAATCCCTCCCACTCTAAATATCTAAATATCCATATCAAATCCAAGTTTAGAGAAATTATTTTGAGCAAAAACTAACACCCTTACACAGGGCATTTAATCACTAGTTTCAGTGGAGTGCAAACTTCATCCTTAAATTCTGAGATACCGAAAATATGCACCTGTGTTTGCAGGCTGCTCTTCTCCACTTTCACCTATAAGATGGTGATGATGGTGATGACTATTTTGAACCTGAATAAAAGAACCAGATACCTGAATTTTGCTAATACTTTCTTCTGTGTCTCTGTTCAGATTTCTTTAATAAATATCATAGGGAGTTCACTTGAGTATATGAAATCTCTGAGGACTCTCCGAGCTCTGAGACCCTTGAGAGCGTTGTCACGATTTGAAGGGATGAGGGTAAGACTGAACATGAATTAAAGCCTGTAGTAATAACCACAGAACAGCATCATTTCACTCTGTGACTGTCTCTTGATGAAGCTGACAGACCTACACCACACAAAGTTTAAGGTCTACAAGACATTTTTTTTTTAAAAAAAAGGGCACATTTGTTGGGCTACTCTGAAACTGTGTGTTTCTCATAGATTTTATTTTATGTGCTTAGCCCTGGCCATTGCTGAAACTGGATCTAGACCTAGCAGAACTCTGCTCCAATGCCGCTCAATCATTCTTGTCTTATTGAGTTGACAAAAAAAGAAATAGAAACCACGGACACAATTTTCATTTTTAAGTCTGTTGGAAAGCGAATTCAGCAAAAAGTGATTTTTTTAATGGATTGATTTACAAGACCTGCAGGCTATCAAGTGGTACTTAGTCCAAACTACTATTATTTCTTACAAAAAGAAGTAATGTACTCTGTAGATTATTTGCTGCTTTTTCCATTGAAAGAAAATGCAGAACTAACTTAGACATGACTTTAATTAGTAACCCACTATAATGTAAAAGCAGAGAAATTCTCTTAGCTAGTCCTATGCAAAACATATCCTTGCAATGTAACATGTAACAGTTATAATATTCAAAACAGTGTTTGGGCAAAATTAACTTCTAGGTCTATGAAATATACTCTAACGAGTATGTTATGGTGAATATACATAATATATAACATCACTGCTGGACATTTACACGGGAATGCAAAAACAGTGGTGTTGAAGGGTGTTACATTTGGATATCTTTTGGCAGTGAAAATGAAATTTCTCTGCTTGCAATATTGTCCCTGTGAGGGCAGAGAGAACTTGATACATTTTTTATTTAATTTAGTGCCAAAAAATTCAAAATCTGGGGTGAATTTCATACATAAAACACAGGTGACGTTCTCCAAAAATATTCACAAAGCTTTTTCACTTTTACTGCACTCCATAAAATTCTTGTTTGCTTCCTAACATCAGTCAATCTTTGATGTGCTTGTGCACATGTGATTGTACAGCATGTACCACAAAAAGTTCCTAGCACATTATTATGGATCCCAAGTACAACAATAATCCAGTAATAAAATTATAGTTCTAGCAAAAGACTAACAGAGAATCACCAGTGGTCCCCTGAAAACTATTTTTCACTGTCTTAATAAAACTGTCATTAGTGCTCATAGAAGAGTTATCCATAGATTAGCATTGGCAAAAAAAGGCAATAAAAAATTGCTGTTCACTGAGATGACCAAGGGGGACTTACTTTTGGTAAGAGTTCATGTGAGCAGATAATTGGGCCTGTCTTTCTTTAAGTAACTATTTCTTCCCTTTCGTTTCACCAAAGGTCGTGGTCAATGCCCTCGTGGGAGCTATCCCTTCCATCATGAATGTCCTACTCGTCTGTCTCATCTTCTGGCTCATCTTTAGCATCATGGGAGTGAACCTGTTTGCTGGAAAGTTTGGGAAGTGTGTCAATTTGACAGAAGAAGATTCAGAATTAAATAGTTCTATTAATGACATAACAGACTGTAAAAATTACAATAATACAGGAAAAATATACTGGATCAATGTCAAAGTGAATTTTGATAATGTTGGCTCTGGTTATCTGGCTCTTCTGCAGGTGGTAAGTGTCATCTGCCTACAGTAGCCAGGATGGAACTTGCATCCAGCCAAAACCTAATTCATCCCTGTAGGTGATGGGAAAGAGCGGCCTCATAGAGCCTGCTCTTCCCTCATACCTGGGTGTTCAAATAATAATGTTGTTGGAGCACATAAATGGAAAAAAAAAGCCAGTAATAGAAAAAAGCTCCGAGGGCTGAGGATATCCCATACAGAGCAGGGGCAAGTTTCCCAAAGTCAGGATTCAGTGCAATCTGCGTGTGCCCAAACCACAGGCTCTTTCCCCAATCAGTGTTACTCAGATATTGCAAATGGTATGAAGACTTTTACCTTAAAAGTTCAAGCCCTTTCCATATTCTTCCTCTCTTTCTAGGCAACATTTAAAGGTTGGATGGAAATTATGTACGCAGCAGTAGATTCGCGAGAGGTTAGTCACTACCTTTAAACTGCATCTCTTTGGTTTTCTGTCCTGCTTTTGTGATTTTTACATGGTGTTGATATCTTCTACTTGCCTGTGCTAACGTTTTCCAGTCGTTATTTCTGACATCTGATGCAAACATTTCATATATGAATGGCCTGCAATATCACAGTGCTAACCTGCTCTGCTGGTGAGTGGGATTCGGCTCCAGATCCGTGAACCTAAATTAATTTATCTATAGTGTGAAGGTCTCTGTATCAGCTCAGCATCCATACATCTCTTGTGGTTAATGGAGATCTAGTCAATTTGTCTGAAGCATCCAGAGAGCTGATCAGCTCATCCCAGATATCTATATTGATCAGATGAACACCTCTCTAGACTCCAGTGACTTTGCTAACCGGATCTCTGTCAGTCAGCAGGGAAGTTTATATTTGTTCTTTTGGCTTTATTTTTATCCCTGATAGTAATGAGAGGGCCTTCCGGCGGAAAAAAAAAAAACAAAAAAAAAAAAAAAAAAAAAACAACTTAAGCCAACATTTTGAAAGGCAAATACTTGGGATTAGATTTTTCAATAATTTGCCCGATTTTTAAAATGCTGAGCACTTTACTGCTTCCTTCCTCATTGGAAGAAGCTGAAGGTTGGTTTGCACTTATGGAGTCCAACTCAGTAACTGTTGGTTTGCACTTATGGAGTCCAACTCAATAACTGTCTGTTGTTACTTTGGTGGGACCAAGTACAACTGGTAGTATCTTGTCAGAGTTAGAAAAAAAAAAGAATCAGCTGTTTGGAGAGAAAAAAAAGGTGAAAAATAAAGCTAAACTTCATTCTCCATTAGCCAAAGAATAAATTTTGTTCTACAAATGTTACTTCCAGAATTTCATGCCTCTTCCTCTAGGAAAACATACCAAATTCTGTGTTAAGCATTACTGGTCATTATAAACCATACCTCCTTCTGCCAGACTTTGTAATAGAGCCGTAACTCTTAGTTCTTATTGGAATCATTTTGTAAGATCATCTGCAAAAATACTATTCTTACTTGTGGCCATGTTGCTGATGGTCATTTTTCACTTTGCTTTTCATTTTCGCAGAAAAATGAACAGCCCAAAATGGAACATAGTCTATTTATGTATCTCTACTTTGTGAATTTCATCATCTTTGGGTCTTTCTTTACCCTGAATCTCTTTGTTGGTGTTATTATTGACAACTTCAACCAACAAAAGAAAAAGATAAGTATACTGGTGGTGTTTCCAAGCATTGACTACATCTACCATACTATCTTTAACGAATAAAGTTTTTGCTACGCATGACATCTGAAACATCTATTTTTCATATACAACAGCATTTTATAATACAGGTAGCAGAAGTAACGTTGTAGGTGATGTTCTTCCTCATTTCTTTTCCACTAAAACATGAACACCTCTCCCAAAGTTTCAAAGACGAATGCGTTCTAAAGTGCCTTAAAATATTGCTGCTATCCTTGGTACTGAGTACTGTGGAGGCACTATTTATTTAGAAGGGGTTGGAGACAGATGTTGTGATAAATATTTTGGATATTTGTCAATAGCAGGATGTGGGAAAACAGGGAAGAGGTTGTTCTTATCCAGGTTTTCATTGCTCTGTTGCTTTCAGGCTTTCTGAGCTTTCCAAGTTTCATTGCAGAATTTCTGTTCTCTGATTTATGGTTTATGCCACTATGTTTCTTTGGGATTATTACAGATTATGAAAGTGGCAGGTACCCTGGCACACCCAGCAAGACATGAAAAATAAAGAAATATAAGCTTTGGATATTTTAGATTTCTTAGCTACAATAATGCTGTTTTTTCATCAACAATAACAGTAACACTTCTTTATATACTTAGGTGGGGAAGATATCTTTATGACAGAAGAACAGAAAAAATATTACAATGCAATGAAAAAACTAGGATCCAAGAAACCTCAAAAGCCTATCCCAAGACCATTGGTAAGACTGTCTGAATTCCTCCAAAGTAAAGTAGATTGCAAAATTAGTTTAATTCACTGAAAAGTGCCTACGTAAATATATTGTACATTAATTATGTATAATGTCTTTGCATTGATATTCAAATCGTGCCCTTACGGTCTATTCCACATTAAAAAAAAAAGCACTGAAAAATTTTACAGGTTAAATATTTATTAAGTTTTGTGCATAAATATTATCGGATTATATATTCACCTTGGAACCGATTAAATGTCAGGATGAGAAGGGAGTTTAATGTCTTTTTTATATTCTACATTCTACATTAAATGACTCTGTAACATAAAAAATTAGCTGTTAGTAAGTATATAAAGATGAATGCCCCTTCTTTTATAGCTAATGCTAGATGTATTTTCTTCCTACAGAACAAATACCAAGGGTTCCTTTTTGACACTGTAACACGTCAAGCCTTCGATGTCATCATCATGATTCTTATCTGCCTCAACATGGTCACCATGATGGTGGAAACGGATGACCAAAGCGAAAAGAAGTCTTACGTTCTTAATAAAATCAATATACTTTTTGTTGCTATCTTTACTGCAGAATGTGTATTGAAATTGGTGGCTCTGAGGCAATACTATTTCTCAAATGCTTGGAACATATTTGATTTGGTCGTGGTGATCATGTCACTTATTGGTAAGTAAAACTGAATTGGCAGATTATTTACTAAATATAATTCTAATCAGAAAGAAAATTTATATCAGCTGTGAAAAAATGTTACAATGGAAGCATAATGTTGGGAAGTGCTGAGAAAGACACCTACACAGTCTAGAAAGAACGAACGAAAGAAAAAGATCAGAGGGTAAATAGCTACCGTTACATTAAAATAGCATGAAATAGGATTTTTAAAAAGCTTATTGTTTTAAAATAAAAACAATATTTTAAAGGGAATGCTGTGTTATATAAATCTTTCATAATTTTTAGCTTGCTTTTCCCCATCTGAAAGGCAGAATTAATGATCCATGGTACCAATACCACTTTGTGTGATAATTTCAACTGTTACAGATTTAGTGCCACGATTCTCAACCAGTAAGTCTTCAATCAGATAAAAATTGTTTTTCTTTGTCATCTGTGCTTGTAATAAAAAAATGAAATATATAGAGACTATAGAGTTCAGAATGAGAATACACACTACAGGATTCACATTCTTGAATCTCAGGCATAACTAATTAAACCCAGGCTCCACGTCCACTTAGGCAAAAACAACAACAGAAAAAAGTCTTAACTTTTATTTCAAGGGATCTCAATGGAAGAATGAGGTGAAGAGTTAAAATTACACTGCTTTTCTGTCAGTGTAAATAATTCTAGTGCTAGTACTGCCAACGTAGCAAAGGAGATTTTCTGGAAGAAAAAAAAATGTATTTTTTTTAAATATGAGTTACTTTCTGGGCAGCAGAAAGTAACTGTTTTTTTTTTTTTTTTTTTTTTTTTTTTTTTTTTTTTTTTGTCAAGGCAAGGTCCTGCTGTGGAAATGCAGGAAAATGAATCCAAGCTGCCTACACCTAACAGGCCAGACCTCTGCATGTAGAGCCACTAGACCCACCTGCCATGCAAATTAAATATAAAATGCCATTCACGTATAGCTATGCTCCTGAATGACCTGAAAGTTGTTGTAGAATGGTACTCATTAGTTTTATGTTTATCATTTCATGCTTATCTAAAGGATGACCATGACAACATTGTTATTTTGTGTTTTAGCTCTGTAGTGTCAGTATTTGAGGCTACAAATTAGAATATAAGTGTATAACCTGTACTTGCTGAAGTATTCATGTAACCATTACCCACAGACACTGGTTCATATGCATATTTAAATACTGTGCACAGAGAAGTTTTTGCCATCCTTAGTGCAAGAGACTAGCTTCTGGTGGCTGAAGAACACAGGTCATAATTGTTGACCTCTGCAGCTTGTTTTCCAACTCTGTTGAAAACTGCAACTTCTATTAAAAGCTGTTATGCTAGGGCATTAGCACAAGGTATTTTTCAGCTGTACGGATATTATCATTTAATTCCACTACTAGTAGAAATGTCATCTTCTAACCAATTATTATTGCCTCCTTTTTAGCTTTATTGCTTTCTGGCATTGGTAAAGCATTTGAACATTTCTTGCCACCTACGCTCTTCAGAGTCATTCGCTTGGCTCGAATTGGACGAATACTAAGGCTCATCCGAGCTGCCAAAGGAATTCGAACTCTCCTTTTTGCCTTAATGATGTCCCTGCCTGCTCTGTTCAACATCGGCCTCTTGCTTTTTCTGGTCATGTTCATTTATGCCATTTTTGGCATGGCTAACTTTGCTTATGTGAAGTTGGAAGATGGTATTGATGATATGTTCAACTTCCAAACCTTTGCTAACAGCATGCTCTGTCTCTTCCAAATCACAACCTCGGCTGGCTGGGATGGACTGCTCAGTCCCATTTTAAGCACTGGACCACCGTATTGTGATCCGAACATAAGTGGTGTAGTAGGTGAATGTGGTAAACCTGCCATAGGCATTATTTATTTTGTAAGTTACATCATTATATCATTCCTCATTGTTGTAAACATGTACATAGCTGTTATTTTAGAGAACTTCAATGCTGCCACTGAGGAAAGTGCAGAGCCTCTAGGTGAGGATGACTTTGACATCTTTTATGAAGTTTGGGAGAAGTTTGATCCTGAAGCAAGTCAGTTTATAACTTTCTCTGCACTTTCAGACTTTGCAGATGCTCTGGCTGAACCTTTACGTGTACCTAAACCAAACAAAGTTGAACTCATATCAATGGACCTGCCCATGGTCAGTGGGGATAGGATCCATTGCTTGGATATTTTATTTGCTTTTACTAAACGAGTGTTGGGAGACTCTGGGGAAATGGACGCTCTGAAAGTGCAGATGGAGCAAAAGTTCATGGCTGCCAATCCTTCCAAAGTATCTTACGAGCCAATTTCCACTACACTTAGACACAAACAAGAAGAAGTTTGTGCCACTGTCATCCAACGTGCATACCGGAGTCATTTGCTTCAACGCTTCATAAAGCAGGCTTCTTACTTGTACCATCGCAGAACTTGCAGTGGTGATGTTCTTGGAGAGGATGCTCCAGAAAAGGAAGGACTTATTGCATCTATGATGGATGAAAACTATGGTAGGAGTCCAGACAAGTCTGAAACTTTGTCCTCAGCATCTCTTCCTCCATCATATGACAGCGTCACAAGAGCCAGTAGTGGCAATCTCATGATTGAGAATGAAGAATTTGTAGATAATCAACAATCTTCAGATATTAAATAGTGCATTGATAAAAAAGTTGTCAAGAATATTTTAAATGTTCACAGAAGCTGATATAAATACATGTGAACTGAAGCAGCCTCCACATTAAACATGAACCGTCAAAGAAAATTTGGTGAACAAGTTCAGTTAAATATAGTTGAATGTGATTACTTAACTATGGCAGTTGCTAAGTTTGGACTCATATTCAGCTTAGTCCAATACTTATAAATGCAGAAAGAAAAGCTGTGAAAGGTTTCATTTCCTTTTTTTTTTTTTTTTCCAATCCATCAGTGGGATCCCACTGCAAAGCAGCTCCTTCAGTATCTGAGTATTACTGCTGTGGATACACAGAGATAGACATGACTGCTGACATTACACCCATTGCCCCAGTATAAGACCTAGGGAGAAGCTCAAGCTACAACAGAGCTCCTATAGAATAGGGAAAAGAATGTCAGTGTTAAGATAAATTGTAAGAGAGAAGAGCTAGTATTTACCCTGAGTCCACCCCTCATTAATACACTCATTAAAAAAAATGTTAAACAATGATCACTAATTGTTTATGTCCTGAGTTGGATATATCACAAAAATAGCCACTGCATGATAAAAAGACATGCCATGCCATACTGGACTTCCTCCAATATGATGAACCTACAGAATAAGTTATATTATGTATGCTATTGTAGTTGTGTTACTACATAATGAAATAATAAATGCAACGTAATATTCCAGAAGTTGTACTGGGCTGAGTAAAACCTTGTTTTATATCTTATCAGTGAGGATTCTTTTTTATTTGTTTTTGTCCTGCGATGAAGCTAAAGCAACCTTGCTGCTTGTCTTCCTATCAGCCAATCCCTACGAAATGTTGTGTTTGTTAGATGCTTTCCTTAAACTTTACGGAACGGCTAAGTTTGATGGTCAAGCTTCCTGCTAATGAATCATGGAGAGAGACAAATGGACAGGCTCACTGAGGGGAAATTAGCAGGACTTCAGTCACTTCATTAGGTATCAGCAATGAGGAAGCTCTACATGGGCCCCATCAATACTGCCCTTGGTCGTGGTAGTGTGTGTCAGCCGTGGCCATGTGGTGAATCCTGGACTTATGACAAGGCTGTCCCTTTGGTTGTAGGTGAAGCACTCGGGGCGAGTCATTCCCCCTCCTGCTGGCACTTCTTCAGTGGAAAGGCTGGTCTGCTTGTTCCTTTGAATGGCTAGAACGAACTGATGTAGTAGCAGTGTGGATGGCTAGGATTTGGGTTGAAGCATTTGAGCTTGGAGCTAACAGGAGACTATAGATGTAATCATACATTCCCCATCTCCTGAAATCAGGTGTGCATATGTTCTCCTGTGATCTTCACCACACTTTCTTTATAAAGGTCTTTAGCCTTCTTTAGCTCCTTACTAGCTTAGGATGCTTCAAGAAAGACACATGCCCAAACAGCAGTCTGTCTCCTGCCTTTTGTATATGCATTTTGGAGATACTTTCAACTATGCATTTTGCTGCCTGGTGACTGCTGTGTTATCCCTCATTTCATGCACTAGGCATGCATAGTCATAAATTTGTCTTGACATTTTAATCACCTGTTTAAGTATCAAACATGTTATGTGCAGGTCTGTGAGATGGTTTGTTTTCCTAACTCCAAGTCTGTAGTCTTGCAGTCACCATTGGATTTGGCAGGTTCTAGCAAACCGTTCTCCCTGCACTGATTTCAGACAGAAAGAAAAGTGGATTTTGTGACTGGGGGCTCAGCTCTGGATATGGATCTGCTATATGTTCCATGTGCTACTTGCATGGCAAATCACCACTGTAAAGTGGTAGTTCTCTGTTCAACGTTGTCACCTTCCTCTTCTGTCTTTTTAACCTTTTCAGATTGTGAGTTCCTTGGACAGAAATAATCTTTTATTCTGAATGGTAAATTGCACTTTAATAATGGGATTCTTTTTTCAGTTGAAGCGGTTTGAACACAGGCTACAAATAAATATTTATAATATCTTTTAATTTTCATTCTTTCTGTGGTACTCTGTCAGCTTCTCCTAGCTACTCCTGACATTGTAGCATCTCTGATTCATTTTGACTAGTACTCCTTCAGATTTTAAGACTGCCACACAGTGAACCATCTGTTTTATATCAGTCACTTCAATAGCTCTGTGCCACTGGAACCATAGCAAACCTATTCCTTCACATTAAAACTTAAAAATAATTAATAGAACTGAAAAAAAATGTTTTTATTTGGCTAAAGTGTTTTTTTTTTTTTGTTAAACAGTCGCCCAATTTGGGGCCCACCAAAATCTAGCAGTTGGCTATATCGCAGGAACGAGATGGTGTTTTCCAGCCTAGCCTGCCAGATGTCTGCTCCCATGGTGTGTAGAGCCTGTCAAGAAACAATAATGAGTCACACTCACCCTTCTTGTCGATTTGGGCATACACAGAGTCGTTTTGACACCACAGCCTCTTAGGAGATTAAATATTTGAACACATGCATATCCAAAGGCAGCAAAACTCATCTTTGCCGGTTTCCTGTGCTAGGAAGGGTATTCTTGCCTTGTATACGAATAGGTTTATTTACAGGCAGCTGCACACAAGCCTCCCTGACATCCATTTTTCTGGGAAGACTGTTCAGAAGCTGAGTCAGAGCTGCACTAACAAATGAAGCAGGATGTAACAGATATCTGGTGCCCTAATGAATCCATTATCAGTACAAGGAAATACAAGTATCCCCTAGGATGAATTTGCCCTTTGCATAAATTTCTCTGAGTGAAGATGATATCATTCTGGCTTGTTTTCCTGTTCCTTCTGGGTATTCTCTGAATCCTCATAATTTTTGGATCCTTCCAACATCCCAGTTGTAATCATAGTTCCCTGAGACGTCAGGATGGTATAGTCTTGTTTCTAGATGATCTGCCTCCCACGTGGCCATGCTGAATGACATTTTGTTTGTTTGCCCCCTTTAAGACAGTTGAATTATTAACCTCTTCAACAGTTACTTCTTCTGTAATCTATGTATGGTTTTCAAATTTTACCCACAAAGAGGTCACTAGATTTTTAGAGAGGTTACTAGCAGAGACAGCAAAAACTTCAGGGCTGAGAGCTTTTCCCTTGGATTACGTATGAGAAACTTGTCTCAATAACATGACATGTTTGTTTGTTCTTTTGATAGTTCCTTTCATAGCAACAACAAATACCATGTCAAAGAAAAAAAATGAAAATCCTGAAACAACTGTAGCTTTCTGCAGTAGATTTGATTTTTCTACCTACAGCATACACACTTCTGACAAGAAACAACTGTAATGGAAAAGCAATTTCCTTCTTTTTTTGCACCCCAATCCGAAGAACTAAAGGACAGAAAAGAAGAACAACTTGGAACTAACCAATAAAAGAGGGCCTATATCCTAAGTATAGAGATCAAGACATGAACAGAAAAATAACTCCCTCAAAAAGAGTTTTTCTTTAGCAAAAACATGATCATAGACTAGAAAATAAAACCAGAAAGGTCCATACTGATAATTTAATACAGTTTTTCTCAGTTCCTTCTGGAAATCAATGTGCATTTTGTGTACAATTTCCTTCTTTATTTATTCTTCCTTTTGCACTGACAAGGTATTTGACCAGGTAACCTGAATGAAGTAGATGCTCTTACACGCCACATATGCTTGCAAAATACAGAGGAGAAATATATATATAAAATGTCTCCAATATTATGAAAAGAGCTTTGTTTAGTTTATTCAACCTAGAAATAACAGTTGAGAGGACATATAGTAATTCTCCATAAGTGAAGGTGGGAAAGTATCAGCTGGGGAGAAAAGTACTTAAATAAGCACTTAAATAGAACAGGCATGAAAAAGTTACCCTAGAAATTAGAAGTAGCTTCTAGTCTTCAGAGCAAGAGGTTGTGAAGTTGCATTGCTAGTCTGACAAGGAAATTATATAGTTGTAAATTTCTTCATGGGATTAAGCGCCATGGCACTTTGCCAGAGGAAGTGTGACCCTGCAGACCCCTGGTTCTCTCTAGAAGCTGCAAACTTCACAAATCTTTCACCTCAGACAGGAATGTGCAACAGATCAACAGATCAACAGAACAACTTTGAAACTTGTTGAATACTTCC